GAAGGTAAATCACACCACTAATTGTTCATTATATCTTTACAATAATATATTCATAAGAAATCTTTCAAATTTACAAGGATTTAGAAAAAATCATCTCTCCATAGGCTTTAATACTCTAATTCTCTAATAATGATGAAGCTTGTTATTACATCATAGGAAAGGTTTATTTTCTTAATTTATGAAACTAGTCTGTCATTTTTATTGCCACATGACTCTAAGCTTGACTAAAAAAAAAAAAAAACCTGTTAGCTCAAATATATACCATACCTTTGTGTTAAATGGTAATTATCGTATTTTAAAACATCATTTTATTTTTTAAGTATTATAAACATTCTAAACTCAAAACATAACTTTTTCTTTCCTTTTCTTCCTTCCTTTCTTCTTTCTCTCCTTCCTTCCTTCTTTCTCTCCTTCCTTCCTTCTTTCTCTCCTTCCTTCCTTCCTTCTTATCCTTTCTTCTTCATCTCTTTTCAACAAATATTTATTGAGGACTTATACTTGACAGGAGTCTTTGGGTTTTGCAGTTAACATGCTCAGCTGCTGACTGAATGCTCGAAAGAAAGGCCTGGCAATCTACTTTTGAAAAATCAGTCACTGAAAGCACAGTTCTGCTCTGACACACGTGGGGTTACATGAGTTGGAATCAATTCACCGGTAACTGGTATGGTGTAATATATGCCAAATACAATGTAAGGCCTTTTGGATATTCAGACAGTTGGAAATTACAGAAAAATAATTGTAGTCAATGTGCCAACTGCTATACTGAGAGGTAAAACATACTCTCAAAGCACTTGAGCATATCATTATTATTTCATGGCTTTTGTTTTTCATAGAAGACGTGTCTCTGTCATTAGATGTTAACATATCCAGGACTGTAACGATGTCTTTTCTTTCTTTAAGGACTCTTCCTGCCACCCTCCTCCCACCACAGAGCACAGTGCTTTACACATACTAACCCATTGCCATCGAGTCGAATCCAACTCATAGTGACCCTGTAGGACAGGGTAACTGCCCCATAGGGTTTCCAAGAAGTTCGATTCGAACTGCCGACCTTTTGATTACCAGCTGAACTCTTAACCACTGAGCCACCAGGGCTCCTTACGCATACTAGGCATTCAGTAATTATTTAGTTGAGTAGAATACACTTAGAATAGCACATACAGATTACTATATACCAACCTTAAAATAATAACTTTAAAAATAATTTTAGAATACGTACTTATTGTACAGAGTTAAAAAATCCAGAGATAAAGAATAAAATTTAAATCACCTATATCCTCACCTTCAAGCAATAATTACCATGTAAGTTTTAATGCATTTCTTTCCAGTCTCTACTTTTGCATATTTGAAAAATTACTGTTTATACAATTATATTTACATATTATTTTACATTCCACTTTTTTTACTTATATTGTGAACATGTGCCATGTCATTAAATAGTCTCCATTAGTGGGAAGTTTAATGGCTGCCTAATATTCCATCATAATAATTTATTATTTACACATTATACTACTATTAGACAATTAGCTATTTATAATGTTTTGTAATTATAAATAATTGCACAGCTGCAATCAGTATCTTGGTACATAAATCTTTGTCACTGTCACTGATCATTTTGCTTAGGACCATATTTGGGCAAATAGCCACATATGGAGAAAAGTATTTGGGAATTTATTCACTATATTGAAAATTCCATTTTTATTCCAGCTGAAGCTTTTTTTTTAATTGTTTAAAGTCATTATTTCCCATTATTAAAAGAAATATGCTTTTCTTCAAGAGGACTAATTTAAATATTTTTGTAGAACTTTAATACTCAGAAAGGCAAGTTATTTTATTTAACAAATAGTTATTCTCTACAATGTCTCCCATAGGGCCTTGCACACAGGCAGCTATTAATAAATGCTTTTTAAAGAGGTGAAAAAATAGAATGGATGAAATGGAACAGAATAAATGGAATACAGAAATAAATGTATTGGCAAGAATTCCTGTTTTGAACACATTAGCTAAATTTCAAGTCTTTTTTCTTAGCATCTTCAGGATCCTCATTACAAAACTCTTTGGAACTCCTTATGTTTGAACAAACTCTCAAACTATTTTGAAGTCTGTTCCAATTACCCATTGCTGCCCCCAAAACTTGGTAGCTTAAAACATCAATTTATTTTCTCTTGTGGTTTTGGTGATTGACAGGTACAGCTAGATGATTCTAGCTTAGGATATCTCATACAGATGCAGTCAGATGATGGCTGAGGCTGGAGTCATCTGAAGACTTCTTCACTCACATGTCTGGTGCCTGGGCTGGGATGGCTGAAAAAGATGGGGGCAAGCTGTATCTTTCCCTCTCCCTGGGCCTCTCCAAATGGTTAGCTTGGGCTTCCTCACAGCATGGTAGTCTCAGTATAATTGGACTTCTACCATGGCAGCTGGCTTTTCCCATAGAAAACATTCCAGGAGACTTGGGGTGAAGCTGCAAATCTTTGTATGACTTCACCTCAGAAGTGACGTAGAAATAAATGAACAAGTTAATGTTTTTAAAATGCTTCGTACAGTGTCTTGATGCAGTACAGTATAGTGAGGGTATGGTAACTATTAGTAGTAGTATTATAGTTAATATTTTTATAATTATTGTTATTATTATAGAGGCTCCTCCATATCTCTGTCCTCCCAGTCTTGTCAGTCATCTTCTTCAGCACCTGTATCTCATTGATTTTCTTCACTTCATTCTTGTTGTTGTTGTGTGCCATCAAGTTGATTCCGACTCATAGCAACCATGTAGAATGGAGTAAAACTTCCCCATACGGTTTCTAAGACTGTAATCTTTACAGAAGCAGATTGCCATATCTATCTCCCTTGAAGGGGCTGGTGGGTTTAAACCACCGACCTTTTGGTTAGCAGCGGAGTGCTTAACCACTGAGCAACCAGGGCTCCTTCACCTCATCCTTAGCCACTATAGCTTGAACATTAATGTTAGTGACCCACCACGCATACTCTTTCATAAAAATCCTAGACTTTGTCAACCCTAATAATTCTCCACTTCACTCCAGATATACACAACCAAAATTCTCACTCAGAACTACTCTACCTTTAAAATTATAAATTCTGCAAAATTTCCTTCACTACACAAGTTCCTATCCTTATATCTTTTCCTCATGGTAACCCAGTTTCCTTGACTCATTTCTTTTATTCTAGTCTGTCAAACCATTCTGACTTCACCTGACCCCCTGCTCCACCTTAACTCTACAGTCATCCATACCATTGGCATCTTTGATGATAAACAATGCCAAATTTACAAACTCCTAAACTTGAATGGACCTACCAACTACTTTCTCTGGCCCTAGGCATGGCTTTTCTAACTTTACTGAGCTGATCAGTACCACTTCCAAATGATGCTATCCAACCAAACATGGGCACCAGTACTATTCCAAAACCTTTTTATATCACTCTTCACATCCTTCCTCTTTCATCATGTGTTCATTCTGCTCCAGCCCCTAATCCCATTCTCTCTCAATCACCCTCAGTTTTTGTAATTGGTTTTATTTTCTTCTTTAGTGAGAAAATGAGTACCTTCCAAAATGAGCTTTCTCAACTTCCCTGCTTTCCATCTAAAAGGTTCCTGTGTCTCTAGTCATTGTTTCTTCCTTCATTTCTCTCTCTTAGAGTAAAGACTGCTACTTTTCTCATGTCTTTCCTCTACACTTCTGCCCACAATCCCAACCTTCTGTCACCTTGCTGATGGAATGCTCACTGTCTTCTAAATCTTCGGTCTATTCCATCTCTTGCTGGTTCTTCTCAGCCTTGACAAAAGTGCTCAGCTCTCATTTTCTAATAATGTAATTTGCCCCTGCAAAACTTTTAAGCTCTTTCTCTATCTCACTGTCCCTTCCTTGTTGAAATTCTCTACCAAGTGTTTTTCACTAATTTCCTCCATCTCTTCAGCATCCAACCATCTCTTAGCTCCTTATAGCCTACTTCAGCCTTTACTGTTCCAACTCCCTAATCATCAAATCCAGAGAACAACTTGCTACAGAAGGACAAATTTAGAAAATAATAACATACTTATGGGTGAAATTTTTTTTTTCATTCAAAATGAAAGCATTCTTGCAATGTGATGGAATAGAAGAATTTCAATAACAAACCTGGCGTTGCTTTTTAACCACTAAAATGTAAACAGCTGTGCATATTTTAAAAATGTTATTCAACATTACTATTTTAGGAATACTAACACAAAGGTATATTTCTCCTCAGATCAGATTATCATTGTTTCTTGAAGCTGGCATTCCACATGCATCATAGATTGATCATCATTATTCTATACCACCCTTTCATGATCAAAAGAGAAATAACCTTCTCTAAGCCACTACCCTCCCACCCTTACCAGAAAAAAAAAAAAAGAAAGAATTTAATCACAACTTCCTTTGGACTCCCCACAGAACTTTACCCATGACTCACTGCTGGTATATGTCCTTCCCTGATCAGCACTATCATTATTTCAGAGACTTTCATATCTCCCCTGTTAGAGTCTAAACTACTTGATAGCATACATCACAGTGTTTGTATATTGTAGATTCTCTGAATATGAAAATTAGTGCTATACACCTATAGTTTCATAGTAAGGATGGGATCCTTTTTGTCCCTAATAGTGTTACCTATCACCTTCTGTTGCTGCATCTACAAGCCCTGATTGATTTAAGAGCCATAGTTGATATTGACATTCATATCCTTTTATTCTAATTATTTTGATTTTCCGGTATAATATAATACTAATTGGTATTTATCGCCAAGCACAAATTGCTAGGAGAAAATCAAACCTATAATTAATTTATCCCCAGAAATCATGAAAATCAACTTGCATTTCAAGACTTTTGGCTGTCAATTTTAATTACTAAATATGTATTTCATTACAATGATTACATAGTTTGATTGAAGCCTTATTGGAAATATGATTTCTCATGGCTCCTCATAATGGTTTTTACTTAACTTTATCCATTGTCTTTTGCCTATAGGTCCCCCCGGCCCACCCGGGATAGTGATTGTTGAGGAAATCACCGAAAACACAGCCACACTGTCCTGGAGTCCAGCAGCTGACAACCACAGCCCAGTCTCCTCCTACAACCTGCAGGCTCGCAGCCCCTTCTCCCTGGGCTGGCAAACAGTAAAAACAGGTAAGAGGCTTGAAGGCCACATCAAGCACAACCAAAGCAGATTCTTAGCTCATGAGCTGTATTTGCTGACAAACTCAAAAGAATCTCATTTGGATTCTGGAAATACTTTGTTATTCACTACGATATTCTCTACTGTTTGATTCTTTTTATAAACCAAAGAAGAGAAAGATACTCTGCTTTCCTTCCTTCCCAATTCCCAAGGACAGACCACATGGTGTTTGCTTGTTTGTTTGTCTGATATAACTTTAGACTCACATCCAACAAACTAACCAGTTGCTGTGGAGTCAAGTCCAACTCATGACAACCTTATGTGTGTCAGAGTAGAACTACTTCTACAGAGTTTTCAATGGCTGATTTTTCAGAAGTAGATTGCCAGACCTTTTTTCTGAGGCAACTCTGGATGGACCTTCCTCTGTAACATTTCAGTTATCAGCTGAGCATGTTAATCATTTGCACCACCCAGGCACTCCAGAGATGCTGCGACAGTAGTACAAATTGTTCCATTGGATCCATCCTCAAGCTTCCCTGAATAATAGCATCTTACCCAACCAGAGTATAATTATCAAACCAGGAAACTGGTATTGGCACAGTATTATTAAATAACCACAGACCTTGTCTGGATTTCACCTGTTTTTATATGCAATATTTCTTTTTGGTTTTGGTGTATAATTCTACGAAATTTCATTGCATATATTCAAGTGACCATGGACGCAATCAGGAATACAAACTGTTTCATCAGCCCAGAGAGACTCCTTCATGCTACTACTTTATAGCCACACATCTCTTTTATTTATAAAAAGAAAATCTAACATAAAATCATGTTATTTAAAACAATGCAGCATTTTAATGCCTGCCTCTAAGAGGTTTGCATTATAGTTGCATTATTTTAAAAATTATTTTCTTCCCCAAGGTTTTTTTAATCTTATAACTAAACTTCCCCTATCTTCCCAAACATAGCAGTCCTGCAGGAATATGTGAAATTACATTCACTTGATAATTGCTAAATACTTATTTAACAAGTTGGTATTTAAAAAGTATACAAGAAGTTTATAAAATGAAATCTTCAGAAGCAGTTGTCCAGATTGAGTAGAGATTTGGGCTTTTGTTTTGTTTTCTATCTCAATATGTAGTTGATTTACCTGCTTAGAAATATAATATAAAATCAAATTATTTGAGTGCAGTAACCAGAAAACTCAATCAGAAAACTCAATCAGAATGTTATGGGAGTAGAGTGGTTCACTGAGTAAATGAAACTTGAGCAGAAACCTATTTTTGTTTAAAAGTTTACAATTTTGGGGAGAGGAAATACATTCATCCACATGTAGAATATAATTCAGATTTTTCTCAATGTTTAACTTAACTACATTAACTTATAGACCTCAGTTTGGTGATCATTACTGTTTACTACACATATATATATACATATTCACTTGGTAATATATAATTGTGGGTATTGGTGTCACCATGGCTTGATTATTGCCCTGTGATATGCCTTGTTACCCCAGAAATTGAGAGGAAAAGCAACTCTCTGGATGCAGTAGAAAATTCAGGAAAGGACACAAATTCAAACCACATAAGTGGGTTTACTCAAGAATTCATATAACTTCCACTCGGTGCCTCATCTTATCCTTAGTGTGACAGCCGAAACTTTTTGCTCTGCAGGTAGGAAATGGACTCATCTTCATTTCATTAATAAAATACTTATCTAAATAAGTCTGCCTATTTCACAAATTTAATCAACCAGTCAATCAGTGGGAAACATATCCACTGTTAGAACACATATCCACTAATAGAAGAGTATTTAAGAAACATGAGTTAAATAAGCAATGACCAATCAATTCCATGGTTATAGGTGATTTGGTATCACTAAGTAGAAGAAAGTCAGATTTACAAATCAAAAGCAATTTGTTTGACTAGAAAAGTGGTCTACAAGAGAAAATATTACTTGCTATGGTTGTTTTCATAGTTTTGTTCAAGATAAATAAATTATTCCCATTCACAGTCAGCTGATTTGAGCCCGATTTTACAGGGGTGGAGAAGGCAATCTTCATAACCTACCATTATGACCAAGAAGATATAAATATATGTAGCCTTGGGAGTAAAGATATTTTATGTTGTATATTTATTTTCTTTTTTAACATAAAGCCTGAAATAATTATCTCAAGATTCAAACAGAAATTAATTTTGCCAATTTTGATCACACCTTGTAATTTGAACTCCCTTTCATTTATTCAACCAAAATTTATCAAGCACCTTCCAGTTACTGTTCTGGACACTTGAGACATATCAGTGAACAAAGAAAATAACAACAACGACAACAAATTCCTGCCCTTGTGGAGATTGTATTCTCACAGATGGGGACAAACAATAAACAGAGAAAATAATAGCAAGTGATGAGTGCTATTTAAAAAAATGAAAGAAAGATTGTGGTAAGGGGGTTAGAAATACTGTGGTAGGGGCAGTTTGTAATTTTAAATGGAGTCGCCGGGTGTTGCAAATGATTAAGCGCTTGGCTACTAACTGAAAGGTTGGCGGTTCAAATCAGGGACCACTCAGAAGAAAGGCCTAGCAATCTACTTCCGCAAAGTCAGAGTCATTGAAAACCCTATGCAGTACAATTCTACTCTTAAACATATGGGGTCCTCATAAGTCATAACTGACTTAGTGACAACTGGTTAGTCAGGGTAAACCTCATCGAGAAGGTATATTTGACTGGACTCTTGAAGGAGATATGGACTTAGTTATGTCAATATGTAGGGAAAGTATTCCAGGTAGAAAGAGCAACTAGGGCAAAGGCATTAGAAGCATTAGATGCAGGAGCAGTGAGGCAGGAGCAGAGCTTTAGGAAGAATGGTAGAAATTGAGGTCACAGAGATATTGACAGTACTAAGTAGTGCAGGGATTGGCCTTTCACCATGAGAGAAATGGAGAGACATTGGAAGGTTCATACTATCAGTCTTATCTTTTAACACAGTCATTCAAGCTGTATTGAAAATAGACTGGGAGTGGCAAGTGGAGAATCACATAAACTAGTTAGGAAGCAATTGCAGTTGAGAGATGATGGTGTTTCAGAGTGATAGAAGCTGAAGGGATAAAAATATACCCAGAGTTTGAATATATTTAGAAAGCAGAATCCACAGGAATTCCTGACAGATTGAATATGAAGAATGTAAGAGAAAAAAAGATTCAAGAATGACTCTAATATTTTTTACCTGACCAACTCAAGAATGGAGTTGCTGTCAATTTAATGGAGAAGTCTGTATGGATAAAGCAGATTTGAGTAGGGGTGAAATTGGGAGTTCAGTTTGGGACATATTAAGTTGGATACATTTATTAGACATCCAAATGGGAATATCAGCTAGGCAACTGGATATGAGTCTGGAGTTTAGGAGAGAAGTTTACAATAAATATATAAATTAGGATATTATTGGCCTATAAATTATGTTTTAATCCATGAGGTTACATGTCACCTCCAGTAAAGGAAGTATAAAATAGAGAGGAATATGAAAAATTGGGCCCTGGAGCATTCCAATATTAAGAAGTTGTGGAAAAGAGGAGCCAGTCTGGATGTGATCTTCTGGAAAACAAAAGAATAAAGTGCACTAAAGAAGAGAGAATAAACACTGCTGACATGTTAAATAAAATGAGGATTGATCATTAGTTTTAACAACATGAAGGTCATTGGTGACATTGGCAAGAGCAGTGTTAGTCAAATAGTGGGGACCAAAGTCTGACAAGATTGAATTCAAGAGAGAATGAAAGAAAAGTTAATACTGACAATCCTTTAAGGAGTTTTGCTGCAAACCAAAGTGGAAAAATCAACATATTTTGAAGTCAGTGATGTCATAATTTGCTTATGGATTGGATTGGGCCAGGAGAGAAAGAAAGGAGTCCAAGATGACCCCAATAATTTTGGCTGCAACAACTGTAAAAATGGAATTTTCACTCACTGAATAGAGAATACTGCAGAAGTAGATTTTGGAAGTTGGGAAGTTTAAGGTTGAGAACTCTATCCACATAGAAAGGTCTGATAGATCATTAACTACATGAGTCTAGAATTCAGGGAAGAGGTTTATGGCTGAAAATATAGAGGTTATCAGCCTATTGATGATATTTCAAATCACCAGACTGGGTAGTAACATCATGGAGTAAGAAAATGAGAAAGACTTTGTAGAACTGGGAGATGAAAAGAAACCAACAATGGAGACTGATAAGGCATAGTCAAGGAGGAGAGAAACATGTTTTGAAAAGTGTTTGAAAGAGAAGAGAGTGATCAACTGGGTCGAAGGATAATAGGTCATGTAAGGTGAGGAATGGAGACATGACCATAATTTTAGTAACATAGAGGCCATTAGTAATCGTGACAGGAGTCGTTGTAGAGGAATACTAAAGATAAGAGCTTGATTGGAGTGAGTTCAAGAGAGAATGGAAGGGAAATAATTGGTGACAGGAAGTCATTGTACAAACAACTCTTAAGAAGTTTTGCTATCAAAGAAAACAGAGAACTAGATGAAGCCTAAAAGGAGAAGCAAGATTAAGACAGTTTTATTTTGTTTTGGTAAAAGAAAAAAAAAGCCCACATGCTTGTATGCTGATGGAAAATATCCATTATAGACAGCTGTTTGAGAAAAAGAGCTACAACTTGAAAGGGCTATGAGGGAAATTCAGAGGGGGCTTCAGGTTTCTATTAGAGTAAAATGTTACAGGAGTGTTCAAAGAGGAGATGGAGTATATAGGGAATTCTGCTAACAATAAGTCATGAATTCCAAAGGTCACAATGGAAGGATTTCATGAATCCAGGAGGGATAAGAGCTAGATAAAAAAAGGAAGTGTGCAAAATTCTGTTGAGATTAGAACAAACGGATTGAAGGTATACGAGGTAGAGGCGTATCTAGGGTATGGCAGGTATGGCATGAGCCCTGGGCACCACTTGAGGAGGGGTGCCAATGAGCAGTTTCTATTCACCATCTCAGTTTCCATTACCAGCTGTGAGAGATCATTCAGCAGTTTAAAACTAACTGTCATAGGCACTATTTTCTGTAGATAAGCCTCCAGATGTCTGGAGTTGCTTGAGACGACTGACATAAACAGAAGTAAATGAAACAATGAGATAAGTCCTGGTGGACCCAAGGCAAGTCTTGGTGATGCAGTGTGTGTTGGGGACTAGAGAGGGCTGAGTGGGGCTGCCTCTTGACCCCTCCTCCCACCGTTATGTTTGACAAGGCATAGCTCAGTATTTCACAAGCTGTGGACTGAGCAGTGGCTTTTTTTCCCCTACCTCTTAGGCTCCTGAGATATTGCTCAGTTTCCAGTGTAGCAAGAGGGGACAGACTTCTTTCCAGGTCTTCATTTCACTTCTTAAAAAAATTGATGCTGCAGTGCTGTGGGATTTGTCAGGCAGTCTATCCTGCCTACTCACTCATCATTTACCATCACAGAACTGGTAATTTGGTAACAATCTCTTGATACCTTTCAGGAGAGATTTTCATGGGAAATCCTAAATGTGTTTAATTCTACCTTGTCATAGTAAAACTGTACCACCAGTTTTCATCAAGTGGACTCCAACTCATGGACACCATGTGTGTCAGAGTAGAACTGTGCTCCACAGGGTTTTCAGTGGCTGATATTTCAGAAGTCGATTGCCAAGCCTTTCTTTCAAGGCACCTCTGGGTGGACTCAAACCTCTAACCTTTTGGTTAGCAGCCTCGCGTGTTAACTATTTGCACCACTTAGGGACTCCCAAAGCTGTACTGTTGTTGTTGTGTGCCATCCAGTCAATTCTGACTCACTGTGACCCTATATGAGAAGGTAGAACTGCCCTATATAATCTTTATGGGCCACCACTCCCTGTCAGTTTGTCATACAGCCAGAATGCAGGAGCCAAAATGCTCCTTAGAAGTGAGGATGGCGAGACTTCATCTCATGTACTTTGGACATGTCATCAGGTGGGACCAATCCCTGGAGAAGGACACAATTCTTAGTGAAGTAGAGGGTCAGCGAAAAAGAGGAAGACCCTCAACGAGATGAATTGACACAGTGGCTGCAAAAATGGGCTCATACATAGCATGAATGTGAGGATGGCGCATGACCGGGTAGTGTTTTGTTCTGTTGTACACATGGCCGCTGAGTTGGAACCAACTCAACAGAACCTAACAACAATATTTACGGGAGCAGATCACCGGGTTTTTCCTCCTGCGGAGTGGCTAGTGAGTTTGAATGCCCAGCACTTAATCACTGCATCACCAGCAAGAACTCCTCTCCCCTACATAGTTAAACAGAAATCCAGGACTGGTACGAATCCAGATAAAACTTGTATACCAAGACGGTGGCTCTCTAATTTCCCTATCTCATTCCTGTAACAAATGGTCTTCTAGAAATATTTCCTAGACAGCAGAGCTGAGTGAACATGAGAAGCAAACCCAAGTAGAGCATATATTCTACATTAAAAAAAAAAAAAAACAAAAACTTACTGCATAGTATTTGACATACCATTTGGTGTTTTACTAAAATCTAAATATAATACAAAAGTCACTCCAAGGAGAGTTCAGAGCTTCCACTTAGATCCCACAAATTGGCGTTTTTAAATTATAGAGGTATATTCTTATTCTGTTGTTTGGAACTGTCAAGTGGCTAAGCATGTTTTCCAGAACTTAGAGAAAACATACTCAAGAAGTTCCCCCAAGAGACTGAAGAAAAACTATTTGCTTAAATTATAGCACTACTTGACCTCTTCTCTGGGGCTGAGAAGTTGGCGAAATTATTTCTAGTGTAGATAACGGCAAATTATGTATGAGGCTGAGATGAAAGAATTCTAATTAACCCCAATGAACTTTGACATATGCAACTACTTACTTCCTAGTGAGACTGAGGAGTCCCTGGGTGGTACAAATGGTTAATGAGCTTGGCTGCTAACTGAAAGGTTGGAATTTTGAATCCACGCAAAGGTGACTTGGAAGAAAGGCCTGACTATCTACTTCTGAGAAGTCAGCCATTGAAAATCCTATGGAGCTCAGTTCTACTCTCATAGACATAATGTTGCCATGAGTTGGACTCAAGAGCAGCTGGTTTTAATGAAACTGGAGGTGAGGTCATGTCTACGTGTTATAAGGAATTTTGCATCTTTCTGTTGACTCTCAGTAGTTGCGATATCCTCAATTGCCATATGTAGCCGTTCTCCAGCCCTCCTAATGACATGAAATCTCCTGCCTCTCTATAGTCCCAGAAGTCATAACAGGGGACATGGAGTCAGCCATGGCAGTGGACCTGAATCCCTGGGTGGAATATGAATTTAGAGTGGTGGCCACCAATCCAATTGGGACTGGAGATCCAAGCACCCCATCTCGAATGATCCGCACAAATGAAGCAGGTAAGAATTTGGAGAGTAAGTATTCTGAATTTAGTATGTCTCTCATCTCTTTAAAAGCAACATGAAATAATCATTATTGCTTGCCTTGGTATAATTTTTTCCTGATTCATTTACCTTGACATCATAAAATTATTTCCTAAAAAGAAATACTTTATTTTTGTTATATTTCAGACCATTGTCTTTGTTTGCCTAAACACAGGCTTCTAAAGCTTTCAGTTTTCTTTCCGCCCTTGCGTCCATCTTTAAGTTATCATGAAATTGAAGCAGTTAATTCTTCTTCTAATTGTATACTCATTCAATAAAACATTTCCATCAAATTCAGAATAGATTGGCTTACCTTCTTTTTCTCCAGTAATGACACTTACCTTTAATTACAGTGTACTTTCTCAAAACTTTTTTGTGTTGCTCTTCACCACTAACCTAGTACAAAGACAAACATAGTCCTTCCTTGACCTACTTCCTTCTTTAAGTTTACATGTAAATACTCATCTGCTTCCTGACTTAGAAAAGCTAGCATCCTTCTAGTCTTTTAGTATGAAGTACCTTTGATAAAATGTTTTCAGTGACACATAAGGAGAATTAAATGATTTATTTAAAAAGTTAATCTTAAAGTATCTTGCCTATCTCATGGAAGAAGCAGAAGAATAAAGGATTTTTTGGAGTAGATGTTTGATTACTTTGGACAAAGTGTTATTGAGATTTACCATTTTCTTATATCCCTATAAAACTTGTGTATTAAGAAAGTACCTCGTAAGGCAGTTACTTAGGAGATCACAAACATCAGTAAAGTTGGTGAGAACAATCTGAAAACAACCAAGAAGTGGGGGAGGGATAGATAATGTCTATAGAGAAGGAAAAAAATTAGTGTCTTTATGCTCAATGATAACATATGAATCTCAATAATGATTAGAGTATAAGTGGGCTGAGAATAGGGATCTTGTTCTGTTAATATTTTTTGTTTGTTGTTGTTTTTCATTGTTCTATTTTTAGAACCTAGAACAGTGTCTGGAACTTGTGCTCAAAATATTTTGTTGAAAGATTAAAAGGAAACATTCCACACCAGTACATAGGTCAGAGATGCATGTACATAGAAGACTAAGAATTGTGTCCATTTTTATTTTATAGTTATATAAATTGTATTTATAGTTATAACCATAGCATATGATAGTTACAGAATTGAACCAAAAATGTGGATTTTTTTTTTTACTTGTAACAAAGCTTATAATAATTAAAATAATCTGTCACGAGAGTTGATCCTTTCTTAAAAGTATACTAAGGCTGGCCTTAAAAAAAAGAGAAAGAAAGAAAAGACTAGGGCCCCAAATGGTCAATTAAGTGCAAATAATCACGCAAAAGATGTTCTGATTCTTTCCATTTAAAAAGGAAGCAACCAAGAAAATAAAAAGTCAAATAGCCTAAATACGTTGGAAAAGATTCATCTATGGAAAACCCAACTTTTCTGCTTTTGTGGTTTGCCTATTACAAGTTGTTTTCTTTGCTCCTTTTTCAGTTGTGTGAATTTTAAATTGAACATTAATTGCCTGGTTGGATTTTCACGCATCCATAAAATCAGCCATGCTTTCACTATGTACAGGTGTTCATTAATTAAGAGCATAGCAGGTTAGTTGTTCCTCATTTTATGTACTCACTGTGCAGAATAGAAATGACTGCCAACAGTGGTACTAATGCTTGCATATTTTCTAAAAAGCACTACCTTACTTTGTATATTGTGAATTGTGTTTAAACAAAGGCAAAGATTACTGCCTAATTCAGAGGCTGTCTATAAATATTCATTTCTAAAAATATAGAACATGTACTTAATCCATTTGGATTGAATAATAATTTTAGACTTTCATAGCATAAATCTTCTCATGCTGTTAAAAAGCATTTTAGCAAACACACTTTTACTTTTCCACCTAAATTGTATTCAGATGATACATTTTAAAAGACTTCTCTCGTCTCTATTTCTGCAGCTACCTCAATCATATAGTGCCCGTCTCTCCATCTTATCATGAGTCCTATGTACATGACATACTTTAGTCCATTAAAATCTTAGGGAAGAGAAATAGTATGAAAAATGCATGAAGTACTCTCCATTGAAAGTGAGTTGAGAAAGGCTTGTACTGTCTGCTTGATGCTTCTTATGCTTTGGTACCACATAACTACAGCTACTAATGGTGTTGAACCAAGTGTTCAGTTTTGTGCCTGTTTTGTCAGGCAGCACAGATTAAAAAGGACACCAATATCCTGAGACATCCTCCCAAGTGATGCACTCTGCTTCTAGTAAGTACATGTCCAGTATTTTAAAAGATGATCCTGTACTAATGAACCAACTAAACTTTGAAAATTGACAGAGCTGCCTGAGAGAAGAAAGGTCTCACACTCAATATTGAGTTGAAAGTTTTATGTCCCTTTACAGTTCTCTTATTTACTATACTATTCCGAATTCCAAAGCAGATTTAGTAAAGCAGTTCTACTTTAGAATTGTTCCTTTCCCGTATTTTTGTTGTTAGGTGCCGTCGAGTCAGTACCGACTCATAGCGACTCTGTGTACTACAGAACAAAAGACTGCATGGGCCTGCGCCATCCTCACAATCATTGCTATGTTTGAGCCCATTTTGACAGCCACTGTGTCACTTCATGTTGTTGAGAGTATTCTTCTTTTTTGCTGACCTTACCAAGCATGACGTCCTTCTCCAGGGACTGGTCCCTTCTGATTACATGACCAAAGTACTTGAGACAAAGTCTCACCATCCTCTACTCCAAGGAGCACTCTATCTGTACTTCTTCCAAGACAGACTTGTTCCTTCTTCGGTCTTGTGATCCTTTCCCATGCACCCAAAAAAAAAAAAAAAAATTAATTTAAAAAAAAATTTTCTCCTAAGATTTTTTTTAATTGTGCTTTAGGTGAAAGTTTACAGAGCAAATTAGTTTCTCATTAGATAGTTAATACACAAATTGTTTTGTGACATTGGTTGCCAACCCTGTGATGTGTCAACACTCTTCTCGTCTCCACCCTGGGTTCCCTGTTTCCATTTGTCCAGTTTTCCTGTCCCTTCCTGCCTTTTCGTCTTTGTTTTTGAGCTGATGTGCCCATTTAGCCTTGTATACATGACTGAACTATGAAGCATGTTCCTCCTGTGTGTTATTCTTTGCCTTATAGACCTGTCTAATCTTTGGCCGAATGGTGTTCTTGGGAGTAACTTCAGTACTGAGTTAAAATGGTGTCCGGGGGCCATACTCTGGGGGTTTCTCCAGTCTCTGTCAGACCAGCAGTCTCTTTTGAGTGTGTGTGTGTGTGTATGTGTGTGTGTGTGTTGAATCTGAATCTTGTTCTACATTTTTCTCCCACTCTGTCCAGGACATTATATTGTGATCCCTGACAGAGCAGTGGGTGGTGGTAAATGGGCACCATCTAGTTGTTCCGGGCTCAGTCCGCTGGAGGTTGTGGTGGTTGTGGTCCGTTAGCACTTTGGGCTAATCTTTCCCTTGTGTCTTTGGTTTTTTTCGTTCTTCTTTGCTCCAGCCAGGTTGGGTCTGATAGATGTATCTTTGATGGCTTCTTGCAGGCTTTTAAGACCCCAGATGTTACTCACCAGTCAGATGTAGAACATTTCCTTTGTAGACTATGTTGTGCCTGTTGAGCTAGATGTCCCCCGAGACCATGGTCCTCAGCCCTCAGCCCAGTAGCTTGGTCCCTCAGGGAGTTTGGATGTGTCTGTGAAGCTTCTATGACTTTGCCCTGGTCAAGCTGTGGTGACTTCCCCAGTATTGTGTACTGTCTTACCCTTCATCAAAGTTACTACTTATCTACTATCTAGTTAGTGTTTTTCCCTCCCCACCCCTCCCTTGCCTCATAACCATCAAGATTGTTTCTTTCTGTGTGGAAACATTTTCATGTTTTTTTTTTTTTTTAAATAATAGTGGTCTCATATAGTATTTGTCTTTTTGTGATTGACTAATTTCACTCAGCATAATGCCCTCCAGATTCATCCATGTTGTGAGATGTTTCCCAGATTCATCACTGTTCTTTATTGTCGCATAGTATGCCATTGTGTGTACGTACCATAGATTTTTTACCCATTCATCTGTTGATGGGCACTTAGGTTGTTTCCATCTTTTTGCTATTGTGAATAGCAATGCAGTGAACATGAGTGTGCATATGTCTATTCGTGTGATGGCTTATTTCTTTAGGGTATATTCCTAGGAGTGAGATTGCTGGATCGTATGGTATTTCTATTTCTAGCTTAAAAAAGTTAATTTTTGTTCTCATTGCAAGATTTTTCTATGGTGTATTTTGAGTTTTCCAGTCATCAGTACACTCTTGGCAGTCATTAAACATAAGATAAATAAGTTCAATCCAATTTCTTATTATTAGGATGTCAAAATAGTAATACATATATGTTTTTTACTTTAATTCACATTTGTATTTATTTATCATTCAATTTTCTCACAAGTTTTAGTTAGATGATAGAAAGGTAGATAGGTAGGTGATGGATGGATGGATGGATGGATGGATGGATGGATGGATGGATGGATGGATGGATGGATGGATAGATAACCATGTGCTTAATCTTAAAACACGTTACTATCATTAAACCAGTATATAAACTTGGGATGAGGTAATTTAAATGCTTTCTTCCATCATTCAAAAAGATGACACTCAAAAGAGAAAATCACATTTTAGGAAATGAATTTGAAAGATACACTAAGGTAGAAATTGAAAAATTCATTTAAAAAAAGGACACAGGAACAGCAATTCTCTTTTATAATTGAACTCTAAAATTCTATAAGGCCCGTATTTATTTATATTCATTACTGAATGATAAAAAAGAAAGAAGATACAGTTAACTATGTAACTTGTCATTTAAAAAAATTGATCTTCTTTATAGTATAAATTTCATATTATTACCAAAGCTCTTGGTATAATAAAGAAATAAAGAATGTGCAAATTTTGAGATTTATACCAAGAGTGAGGTGGAGCCAAGATAAGGAGTAGT